GGGACACTGCAGAACAGCCATGATGGTGTGTTGGAGTGATGCAGGTTTAATGGGCATGACAGGAAAATGCATGGCCTTTCCCTTCTGCCTGCCACACCAGGCCACAGACGCTGTACAGCGGTCCACATCCCACTACCAGCAGTGAGGTGGCACCAGCCTCGCTCTCGTAACCCCAGGGCTAAGGGCTGCTGGGCGTCCCCTCGGCTCCGCGCTATGGCCCACTGCACTTCCCAAAAGGCTGCTCGTGGCTGGGAGGCTGCACCTCCCCTCTGCCTGCTCTGCAACCCGCAAGCCGTCACCGCTGGCATCCCCGGGAGGTGTGTGCCCAAATGCCCCAGCCAAAGCCAACACATACCGATGCTTCTGCCAAGGGAGAGGCCTTGCACAGTGCTTGTTTGTATGCCCACCCCCGTCCCCGCCGAAACACCAAAGCAGCCCCGTGTCTTGCACCAGCCCCATGAAAGCTGCAGCCTGCTCCAGCAGCCTCCTCTCACCCCCACCCTGGGCAACGTGGCACATCAAAACCACATCCCCTTCCCCATGAAGAACCCAGTGGGTGGAAACAGTCCCTTGTGTGAACGGGGCCGGAGCATGGCTGGGGCAGGTGGTGAGGCACGCCGCGCCCAGGCAGCAGGAAGGCTGCGGCCAAAACTGCGCCGGGGCCAGATCCGTCCCGCTCCCGTTTCAAACTGGGGCTGCCATAACTTGTTTCAGGCAGGTTGATACAGTCGGGTTTTTCTGCCCCCTTTTTACCAAGCCCACGTACTCACGCTTGGCCCCAGAGCTAACGAAGTCCTCCCAGGGCTGCAGCCCGGAAAATGTGTGTGGCTGGTGGGGGAAAAATGCGCTAGCTGGCTAGGTATAGCTACCTCATTAGGTATCTCTAGCTATAGTTATACAGACCTTTAGCTAGACCAATTTTTTTGCATGTTGACTTTCCCACTTCCCCCCTTTTCTTGAAACACAGGGCTGCTTGGGGTCGCTTGTGCCAAAGGGTGCTCCGTCAGTAAGGACCAGCATCCAGCTGCTGCAGTGGTGTGACGAGCCAAGAAAGCAGCTTGCACAAGAAAAAAAGCGAACAAATGCCAAAACCAAAAAAAAAGGCAAAAAACCCCCACGCTTTGCTTGGATTCGACAGAGGTTACGAACCAACCCATCCCTACACCTTGCTCTGACTGCTGGATGGAGCTTTGCTGTTAGATGGACCTAGTCCTAACTAACCATTTTCTTGCAAAGCTTATAGTAATGGCCTAAGCCATCTCGTATGTTTGGGCTCCAACAGTGCCCAGTGTTAGTACTCAGCTACTTACGCCTCAAAATATACATTTTCATTTTTCCTTTGGAAAGACACAAACAGTAGGGACACTTAACTATACACCCACTGAGGAATAAACTGTTTTTTCAATTAATAAATATAAACTTATAGTTAAAAAGTGACAATTTACAAAAATACAATTTATTGCTGACCCTACGGGCTTGTAACATCGCTTGTGTCATTGTGATCATATGTTTCAGGTTCTCCAAATTGAAACATGACCCAGCAAAACCACAAAGTTTGCCGTCATATGCTGTTCTATGCTTGTTTGTTTGTTTTCATTTATAGAAACATATACGACTACAATCACTTGAAACAAAACAACCAAAAAAAGAACGAGTAAGGATTCTTTGTCTGTAACCTGAAAAATATTTGGCTACAGGGAGTAAAAACCATATAAATTTATCTGCACTTGTTAACCAAAATAAAACATGACAAATATCTTACTAGCTGTGATGTGAGCTGGTATAACAACAGTAAGAAATTCAGGCAAAAGTGGTGTTACATAAATTAGCAGCATCATCCAAGTTCCTGGAAAACCAAAAATCGCGGGACTGAGGTATAGAAAAAAGGAAAAAAAAAATCCACAATGGACCTACGACAGCGAAACGAGTTATGTACATGGTAATCCAACGGCGTCCTGCAGACCAGTACAGTCTGTGTATGTGCTCCAAATACTGGGCTTAAATTCACAGTGACTTTCAGCATCGAAGTCCTGAATGGGAAAGGGTTTTTCCCGCTGCAAAGCAATCTTCGTGGCGACCTGGTCACTACCCTCCCTGCAGCCAGAAAGCCACCGCCTTCCAGTTGTACCCCTGGGCTGGGCAAGGGCACGTAGAGCTGCCGGAGCAGCATCACGGACCGGCTGCGCGGAAACCCCAACTGCCGAGGTGCCCCCGGAGCTGTCTGCCCCCGGTGGGGCCCGTCCCTCCAGCCACCACCTTCCCCGGGGGGGGCCCGACCTCACCCGTGCTCTGACGGCGTCGTCCTCCCCTCCGCGTGCGCCCGGGGCGCCGAGCGGCTGCAGCCAAGGTGGTCCCTGCCTCCCGGCGCCGGTGTTCAGGGCAGCTGCATCTCGGGCAGGTCCGGCAGGTTGCAGGCCTGGCCCTGCGCCGGGCGGCTCTGCTGCTGCGCGTGGAGGAAGTAGCTCAGGGGGTTCTGCTGCGGGGTGGCGGGGGGCTGGAAAATGCGTGGCGTCGGACCCCCGGGCATGGGCTCAGGACCTTGCATCTGTCAGGAGACACGAATTCGACAAGTCACACCTGCCCTACTGCCCGTCTGCTCCCTCTCTCGCTGCAGGGCTGATGCTGAGGCTCCCACCCAGGAGCGCGAGTGCCAAGCCCTAAAGGTAACCTCTACCCATGGAGGGAACGCCTTGCGGACAAGCAGCTCGGGGTGCTGGTGCTATCAGCACGACTAACAATGCCTGGAGAGTACGGCGGGGAAGCAGGACCCATCCATCCTACCAGCCCCATTTTTTTTTAATGGAGACCTTCAAAAGCTACTTGGACGTGAGGTGAAATCTGCAGGATGTGCAACTTCCACGTTACATGGAAAGGATCTTCAGGAAACCAATGAAGAGGCTGTAGAGCGCCCTTGTCCGTGTACTACCCCATGGCTGGGACTCCAAAGACCTGGATTTGCTGGTGCACGCCCTGTTAAAGGCATTGTGGCACCAAAGCCTGGTTTCCTGTTGCCCTGGAGCTGTTTATCTCCCCCGGCTTTGCCCTTCTTCTGTCCATATTGCTAGTCCTCAGGAACTCAGTGCAGCCTGTGAGCCAAAAGTGGGGATGGCTCATGCCCATATTTGCTGAGAACAAAGATTCATTTCTTACTCCATATCCAGTCCTGCTACTTGGCTGCTTTCAGCTGTACCTACTCCTTCTGCTCTGTTTTCTACCATCTTTGCCTGGAGGACCATAGCTTATCTCTGCCAACCAGGCAAGTCTTGGGGAGCGTACTACTAATTAGTAGTTTCAACAACCCTTCTCCATGGCAGCGTCATTGGTTTGGCATGCACTGATGAAGCTGTGCTTCGAAAACCACAAATCACCTTCTCCAGAGATTTGTGTTGTAAAACACAAAGGAAGCAGTGATGGCAGCTGATAAACAACCTTGCTATGCTGAGCCATAACAGCAGGAGGCACGTTTTCAAAAGAGCTTATCCCTTATCATGTTTCACGTCTACAGCAAGATTCCCACCAGAGCTCCTCTAGGTATTTCTTCTGGACACTAAGTGATAACCGACTTCGCTGGAAAATATGGCCTTGAACGGGTGCAGAGCCAGGCTGGAAAGACTGACTGCTTGGGTACATACAGATACAACGGGAAGGGAGGTTGTGGGAGTGCACTGACCAGGTTTGATTAGCCAGGTAAGCCCCATTTCTTCAAAAAATCCAACCCAACCCCAAAGCCATCCCTGTGCATCCTCAGAAATCTGCTCCAGCTCCATTACCTGAAGGTAGAGACGCTGAACCTGTTGCTGTGGCCACTGGTGGAGATGAACCGGTGTGTTTGCCTGGTGGGATGTGAAGCTGGTGTGTGGGATCATCAGAGATGGGGAGAAAACGGGTGATGGGGCAGGAGGTCGGATGGTGCTACAGGTAACCGGCTGCATCTGTATTGAGGGAGGAAAAATCTGCTGCTCTGCAACGAATCTGCCAAGAGGAGGAAAATAAGGTGTGAGAACCCAAATGTAGACCCACCACCGGAGCGGGCCCTGGGGACCCCAGGTGCTGCAGGAACCAGACTGGAGCAGGGCCAAACCACATCAAACCACGTCAAACCACGCAGGGCCCGGTGAAAGCAGGCCCCAGATTTCCTCCTCCCCATCAAGCATGGACTGGAACTGCAGAAAATCAGTTTTTAAGGCTATGCATCTCCTCCACGACTTGATCAGGCATTTTAGGCTTTGGAAAAGCCAGAAAATGTTTTAAAATTTTTTTTCAAAGCATTTTAATTATCATAAAGTTCTTTGTAATTAAAACATATCCTCCTAATACTCTCCTAAAAAATTTTCTCCTAACCAGCTGAGCTTTTGTTTCTTTTAAGACTGAAACTGTTTGTGCTTGCGTGATCATGTACAAGTTTTTCAAAGTAATTTTCAGTGTCACAAAGAGCCCTGCTAAAACACTGCACGGAAACAAGGGCCAGCAAAGACTCACTTTCCTTGCTGCCTGCTGGCACTGCTCTGCGTGGACTGGCCACTGCCGTTGGCAGCGGGCATCATGGCTTGGACAGACTGATCCAACAGCATCCTGTGGTGGAAGAAAAACAGAGGACAGTCAGGGAAGGGAAAGGTCCAAATTCCTGACTGGCAGTTTCTAGAAAAAAATCCCTGAAAATCCTCTCTGAAAGCATGCAAACCATCACCCTGAAAAATCCCTAATGAAACGGGATGCTTAGTGTCACCTTGTCTAATGCACTCGCAGAGGTGAGCTGAAACTTGCTAAATCTTTCATGTAAGAAATAAGTTTTATAGATGGTGAGACCTCTAGGGATTATTTTGTTTCCTTACACAATATTCCGAAACGTCTGGATCCTGTAGGCAGTGTCTGCAGATACCTCCCTGAAAGGTGGCTGAATAGTTTGGGACCGTTGTATATAGGTTACACAACGTTTCCTCTGTCGTATAAAAGAAAAATGGCTTTGCCATGGCACTTGTCCTGGCTGGAGAAAAGACACTCTGGAGCTTCAAAGCCAGCAGACACAGGTTTGGGAAAGGCTGTCCCTGCTACTTTTTCCTGCTCACTCCCTCTGACAGCAGCAGACGTCCAAAGGTTACTGAGCTACACGGACAATTTATGGAAATATGGAGAGAAAAGGATTTCAGGCCCCTGAGGGCTTGGCATGGTGTGCACAGCACCCTGCTTGCACGCACACTGGGCTCACCATTAACTCAGATCTCTGCAGGAGGGAACCTCCCTACGCCTCTGCTGTGGCACCCCGAGACCTTCACCGCCCTGAGCCCAGAAGCGCCCGCCCTCCCCGCTGCCCAGCTACTGCTGTTTTCTGTCACTGCCATCGGGACGGTCCCAGCAGGGCTGCGTCTGTACCTGAGGCTCCTGTCCTGGCTGTAGTCAGACTGCGGTTGCCTTTCGCTGCCGTCAGTCGGCATCTGTGCAGCCACTGTAACGGGATGAGCTTGCGAAAACACCATGGGGTTGTTGTAGAGGGGCACCGAAATGCTCGTCTGCCCCGGCAGACCCGTTTGCTGGGCTTGGTTTCCTCTCATTACGTGCTGCTGCTGCTGCTGCTGTACCTAAATGAAGACATAGATACCCACGTGAGTTTTTAAAGCCCCCTAACAGAAGCCTAAAAGAACTGCTTCCAGTATGCAGGTGGGAAAAGGAGAAGGAACAGTAGGATAGTCTCCCTGCACACAGCAGTAGAACAGTATATCTATTCAGGACACCCAACCCATTTGCATTCATTACCCCTGCACGGCAAGCGCTGGGATCCCCAGCGGCAGGAGCAGATGGTCTCTGGAGAAATGAGAGTCCAAGGGTGAGGGCACAGAGGGCTTGAGGAAGAAGACACCAGCTTAAGAGGGGAGGAGGAGTGCAAATCCAAAGTCCCCAAGGAAAGCGTTTCATCCATCCTTTAAAGCAACAGTTTTGGTCTTTTTTGCTTTTGGACACCTAAATCCTTTCCCAAGGAGATGTAACCATCTATATAGTGGGTTCAGGCCTAGTGGTGACAAACTTGTTTTTTCAAAGCTGCCTTCTTCTCAGGAAGAAGAAAATTAATCTTTTAAAATTATGTCTACTCCCCCATGTTACAGAGGCACAACTCTCGTTGGCTGCGAACAAGCACCATGTTGCAATCGCAAACAGAAGTGAATGAGAGCCCAAATGTCCCACTCGGTTCCTCTCCAGTCACCAGGAGGGCTCCAGTGGTCCCCAGAGTTTAATGCTTTTAGGCTACCTGGCTTTTATTTTTACAGTTGAATGACATCATTCACAACTGACTCTCAACACACACTTCATAATGTCAGCTACGGAGTAAAACCAGCACAGAGGAGATGCACGGGACCACAGGGAGGGGGGACACGGCAGACAAGCATTTAAAAGCCAGGAAAGGGGACGATGAGGATAATGGAGCAGACAGAGACCTGGGCGGCTGTGCCGCAGGGGTCCCTGAGGAATTGGCGCGGTGACGGCAGGGGGGTGCTGCAGTAGTGCTTCGTCCCCATAAGGCCTTGCTGTTGTGACTTCTTGGCTGTGGTCTGCCTGGGTGTCCCTGGCGGTGGCGGCCTCCTGGGGCTTGGGTGCTGCACGTTGTTAAAGACGACGGGGATCGGCTGCTGCATCAGCATCTTTAAATAAAAGAGACACATGAGTTGTCACAGCTCATACGGTGGTTGTACTGCCTGGGAGGTACCGTCCCCAGCTCCCAGGCTGTCTCTAACAACATATATAACACTGCAGCAGCAACATCTCTAAATCCAGGGGCAAAGTGAACCATGATTAATAGAAAACAAAACGTTAGCACGTGCCCAAGTATGAACTCAGAGCCATGACCGTTCCAGCTCCATTACGCCTGTTGCACTTTGCAGGATCGGCACTGGGCACCCAGCAGCACTAACCAGCCACCAAACTGCCGAGCTTTTTGTGCAGGGGAGACTTCAGACGAGCTTGGGATTGTTTTTTTCTAAATCATGAAAATTACTGATTCAATATTTAAGCAGATACTGACATCACTCATCTCTTGGGAGACACTACTCCCATGTCTAAGACCAAACTAGCAAATTATCCAGAACACATTTCTAAACGCTCTTGCCACTGACAATTTTGTTACCAATCTGCGTGCTCAAAGAAAAAGCAAAGGCTTTGTGGGTTCGGGAACCCTGGGGGCAGCAGGTACCTGCAGGTTGGAGTCCTGCACTAGCTGGAGCTGCTCCTTGATGACGTGGAGCTCTTCTTGCTGTGTCTTGATGTCAGCCTGCAGTATGCGAGTCCTCTCCTCCAGCTGCTCTTTCAGCTGATGCATCATCCCCAGCTGGGTCGGGAAATGGTACACTGGCTGCGGAGAACAGAGAACAAGATCATGGGTAGGACCAGTCCCGCTACTCACATTCAGAGTGACGCTAACTTCAGTAAAATGACTGCTTTTCAACTTTTGCCATAGAAAATATGATGCTGATAAAAAATGGTGATCGCCTATTTAACCAAAATACCACCGTACTTCCAGAGCAGCAGCACAACTGGCTCCTAACTCAGTGCCTCACTCCAGATTTTGGGCTGTTAAATTTCTGCGCAGGTGTAGTGTCTGTGCATGGGACTCCCCTGTCTCTTTAGTGTGACACTCTGCTGATTTCAAACCACTTGCATTTTGTGGCAGACACTGCATACAAACCCTTGCCACACCTCCAGGCTGGGCTTTCAGTTGTGCTGCTAATTATATTTGCCAAATGCCAGGCCCAGGGCAGGTTGCAATCCCACCCTGGGATCCATCCTTTACACCTACATTGGCCGCATTCAATCCCTGTATTATAGTCTGAATGTTTACTACACTGACCTCAAAGCTCTGTGAGGACAGGCCTCATAGTTATGGGTATCCCACAGTTTTCTTGTGTGTGTTTTTTTCCCTGGCCTAACTCAAACCTTCCACAACATCCCCTTCCTTTAACAGGGCAATAAAACTCTTCAGCATCGTATCAGCCTGTAGTTAGTTACTAGCAATTGAGGGATGAGCCTTCAGCAGCCCCCAATGGTTTTGACAACTGTAAACTTTCTTCTAAGCTGCTTCCTTGGGTATCCTACCTGCTCTGTCTCCTTGCCGAAATAAGTGGTTGCAATAATTGGGTTGCAGGTAAATCTCAGTAAGAGCAACAGAAAGGGCACTGAAACCTTGCCCCCATCCTGGGACCAGCCAGCAAGGAGGTAAGAGCAGTGAATGGGAGCCACTAAGTCTGCCTTGATGAACGGCCATACCAGTGTATTTAACAAAAATAAACCACATACCATCACAGCATGCTGAGAGGGGACTGCCGGCTGAGCCACGGGATGCTGAGGGAGGTGTTCACCAAGGGCTTGAGGAGTTGCTATGGCCTGGAAATGAAAACTTTGCCTTACTGTAGGTCCATAGCACCTCTAGTGCAGAGTTGGTGAAGTACCAGCTCAGACTGGTGATGAGCAAGTGCAGGGAATTAGACAACTCCAGGTGGAGATCTGAGGATGAGTCTGAAGGGAGAATTTAAGCTCCTGCATGCCCCCTGATAATGGCAAGTCCTCGGTGTCAGCATCTATTTTCGGATAAAGGCCATTTCACGTGTACAAACCCCAAGAAAACAGGCTCGCAGTGCGAGAAGGTGTTTGGCCTGGAGAAGCAAACTGAATCCCCCAAGGAGGCAACAGAGGGGCCTCTAGCAGCTCTCCACTGGCTCTGCCAGCCAGCAGCACTCCCCACAGCCCTGGGATATCCCACGCTGAGGCCCAGCACACTCAGAGGTAGGGATCCGGTCTTTCTGAGGACGAGACCAAGCTTTGTCAAGCTTGTTTCTTTACAGCATCAGAAAGGCTTTTGCTCGCCAGGACCACCAACCTGAGCACTTCCAGCTGACGCCAGCCGCAGGGCTGCCTTCTCCACCTGCCCCCCTGGCACCGACAACCGGGTGGGCGTGCTGGTGTCCGTGTGTCGCATGGACGACGTGGCTGGAAAAGAGACAGTGTACTGTGATGCAGGAGACCTGTGCCTGGGTACCCTGGCTAAACCTGAACTCCGCGTACGCAGATGAGCAGCAACCCAAACGCTGCCAAACTGGGTCCCCAAACTGCCCCTCCGTGGTCCCTCTGGCTCCCCACCTGACTCATGGGGTTCCCTTCTGATGCTAATGCCCCATTTCAGCCTTCCCTCCATGGGCGTCTCCAGATGAGCTTTCCCACTCTCCCTCTGGCAAGTATTTCAAGAAAAGCCCCCTGAGCTGGCTCCCACCCACGCTCCCACACTGGCACCTTGCTACTGCCCCTGGTGCGGGGCGGGGGGGCACTGGTGGGAGCTGGGGTGATGCAGCCAGCAAGGCAGGCAGCCTTCTGCACTCCTTCTGCAGGGGCTTGTCATCAGGGTCCAAACTACTCCATAATAAAAGTTGTCAGTGAGGTTCGAAGCGCAATCAAATTGCTTCAGCTTAGTGAGTCACCTCCTGTCCCCTGAGCCACCGCCAACAACTGCAACCCTCAGCTGGTGGCAAGTGGGGGGAAAAGCTTTTCTCACACTGGCAGGGGGCTAAAAGGGAGAAGGCAACACGAAGCCACGGCTCTGCTGCCATACCATATCTTGTTATGGGACAGTATGTCGGTCCCAGCACCAAGCACCCCCCTCTCACCCTGACTCGGTCACTCCCAGCCGAACCCCAGTATTTTGGAGGTGGCTCTGCCCTCCAGCTCACTCTTGCCCCCATGCTGGGCTGCCCCTGGCCACGCTGGCACCTACATGCGGAGTCGGAGAGGGCGGTGTGCGAGGAGCGCCGGGAGCTGTGGGACGACAGTGACACTCCTTCCCGGCTGGCGTCCTGGCTGCTGCCGCACTGCCCCACGTCCAGGTAGCTGCTGTGGCTCTGCAGGGGGTGAAGCACAAGCAGTGAGATCGTCTGCAGGAGATGGAAGACGCTGGAGGGGACCTCCACCTCCCTGACCACTTGTTTGCAGAGAAAAATAACAGGTTGGGTGCGCAGAGGGCCAGTACCACAGCAGCACACCACCAAACCCTGGTGCAGTATTTGGTCTGCCCCTCAACGCTCACCCTAAAGGCTTCAGGTATCCCTGTGCAGACAGGATTCTCGGGACCTCATCCCAGGCACTCCCACCCTTGGATCTGGGGTGATGCCATGAATTTCTGTCCCGGGACACCTGTCTGACAGCAGCGAGCAGCGGTGGGGGGGACGCACTGTGTGTCAGGCGAACATCTGCCCGCAGAGCCATGTGCAAATGGAAATACGCTTTATAATTAGCTTCCTTCTGCCTGATTTCTTCAGGGATGTCACAGTTTGTTGGCCGTGGCACACCGGGGAGTGGTGTCAGAGGCAACGGATGAAGGCAGCAGGAGGGGCTGGCTGGAGAAAGGTTTTATTCATTGCAGAGACGGGGAGAGATGGTTGGGAAGGGGCATGGAGCAGTGGCATGAGGACATCAGCTGCAGCCCTTGGAGAACCTGCAGCAAACAGCTCTGTGAGGGACAGCTCCTGGGCAAAGCTGAGAGCTGTAACTCTGCTGGCCATGCCCTGGGGAGCAGTCGCTCCCAGCAGGCTGCTCTGGCCAGGAACCTGGCAGCACATCTGCAGAGGGCAAGAGCCTAAGCTAGTGAATATCACACCAAAACGACAGATGCCACTTGGCAGATGGTTTATGGCAAACAGCCCATAACTGTTGGGTAGCAGGAGACTGTTTCACCTGCAGGACGTGGGTGACCACGATGGCCATGCCACCCCCCTCCTCACCCTTCCCAGTTTGCTCCCCAGCTTCCCACTCCCCTCCAGAAGATCAAGCGATGGGAATGATTGCTCTGCCTTTCCTCCAGCTGCATCAACAGATGCAGCTCAAGGTCTGCAGAAAAATATCTCAGCTATCATGTGGAAAGGGGAAGAAGACACAGAAGTGTGCTGTGGTGACAGAGAAGCAGCTGTTTGCAAGACAGTCCTTGCTCAAGTGCAAAACGTGTCTGGGACAGCTTCCCCTATACATCCCATAAGCAGCTGCTATAAAATAATGTCCGAAGAGCATTGAGGCTAATGGAAAGATAATTACACAACAATCCACTTGAAATTACTTTGATTGCTGGTCTTATTTGCAAACTACTGAGAGGAAGAACTTAAAAGTAATTAAAACGATGTTGTTAATTGGACAGGTGTGTTGGGATGCCAGCCTGATTCAAGCCATGGAAATTATTGCTATGATCACAGTCCTACACGCCATGCAATCCTGCCCTATGGTGTAAACAGAGCTGAAATCTGGAATGTTTTCCCTTCACTTCCAATATCTGTCTGATGACAATTGATGACAGTGATGAGCTGGCATTAACAAAACAGGTACCATGTGGTACTGCTCGGCGCTCGGATCCTCTGCGCCTTACCAATGGTGACAAGTACAGCAACCTGCCTCCAGCTCCAGCTCTACTTTTCTGCTTCTGAACTGCGGTGCTTTAACCTGTCGTTTGCATAACGGTCTCAGAAAGATAATGAACAGCAGAACAGCAGCAATGCAACTGCTGGATTTGCAGTTATATGCCTGGACCAAGATGCGCAGTTTAGTGCAATGCAGTGGAAAACTTCTCAGGGTCTGCCTGATTCATAACCCAACTGAAGGCTTGGAAGGAGATGGGAGTAAAGGAGAAGAAGAAAGAACAGGCATTCTCCCAAGATTGGTAAGCAATTACTCAGTTTGGTTTAAACACCTACTCATTTAACTGTGAAGGGACATGGTACCTTTAGAGAAGAGGATGCCAGTTCAATTGATGACTCTTCAAGGCCAAGATCTCGCCTTCTTTCAGCTCGAACTTCTGCATAACTAAAAAAACCCCAAATAAAACAATTAAAATTCAGTTTTTCAGCCTGGATATTGTTTACTGTATGGTAACTATCCTACTGTACAGGTCACTATGGAGTTTTCATGTTGAGTCACAAGCTTTGCACAGCACACAAACATACTCTCTCATATACAAGGTGCTCAGAGGAACATCATCATACAGCCTTGCAATCTATGAATAACTGCACATGCTGAATAACCCCAGATAAGAAACAACAGGGCAGTGTCTCAGTCCCACTGCGCCCAGGACTGTAGAGCCTATATGATTAATTGCACTAATCATTCCAAGCACAAGCGTAGACACTCCTTTGCAAATTTTGGCCCTGGATGCCTTCAAGCAAAACTAATCTAAAAGCAAAGTGCACTTGGTTATCGAAGACAAAATGCATGTCTTTGTCCTCAGTACAATTTTCCTAATAAAGGAGATTCCTATTTTCCATAATCAGGCAGAAAAATGATCCTACAGCTTCTGTACAGGTAAACTGCCACGGAAAATGTATTCATTTTCTAATCTGCTGACAATGAAGAATCATTTTTTTTGCATGTTGTACAGTAGCTCAGTGAGACCTAAGCCAGTGCCTTGAGGAGAAGGAGGTCAGGTCCCCTCTTTGTGAGGGTGCAGCGTGCTACATCGGAGTTAACATCCCTCACTCCAGTGGAAGCTCTGAATACAAAAGGAATTTGAGGTGCAGGAATCCAAAGGAATGAGTCTCTAAAAGTGTGTATTTGCTTTCCTAACTATTTTTTCTCTTAAATAATAAAATATTTACAGTAAACAATGACACACGATTCACCTCTTGGATAAACTGGAGAGAGCGTTTTAAAGACTCTCTGAGTGCTTGTGGATCATTGAAACGTGCCAGAATTTAGGGTGCTGAAATATTAATGGGCCATAACCTTTGTGAGAGGCAAGAAAAGTTGTGAACAGAACTCACTTATATCATTGCAGGCAATGAATTCTCCTGAAATCACGTTTTAACTTGTGTCTTTCAAAAATATATTCTAAATCTTAACTATATGAGACAGAACTGAATTTCAAAATCTATTCAGGACTGCATCATTAGGTTTAAGAGCCACTGGATGCAGAATGAAGAAACAAGTTCATGCACAATAAATTCAGAGCTTAAAGTGAAGCCGAATTCCCAGAAGGATGGCAGAAGCAACACAACTCAGAAGCAATCCCTCTAACATTTTCTCATGATAACACCTGACGTGTAGTTTCCACCAGCACACACAGCTCTAATCACTTAGACCTGTTTGGAGGTGTGAGGTGTGCTCAGTCTGTGTGTCAGAACGCAGAGAAGAATCCCAGTTTACTACTGTTTGTTCTTCCAGGTGTTTGACAAGTAAAAGGGGCACCAGAAAAAAATTCACAAATTGATTCCTGACAGTAAAGAAAGACACAGCGAGCAGTATGTTTACCCAAGTTAACAGAGAAACCAGTACGTCCCTCTTTTTTCAAGCCCTTCAGTAAATACATTCTCACTCTCAACACAATTGGTTTTTGAGATGACAGTAGTAATCAAGCAGATTCCCCTCCAGAAGGTGTGTATCACAAAGCATCCCACACACACAGTGCCTTCCAGCACGGGTTTGCAACCGAGCCCAAGCAGCTTCCCACTAGGGGGGGATCCTGGGCTGAGTTTCAGGTGAGGAAGAAGGCTAGCAGGACAGCAGCTAACTTCAAGTCACGAATATTTAACCTCTGATCAAAAGGTTTTGTAGGAGGTGCACGATCCCCTTTACGCCCATAAAGCCATCTGATTCTTAACAGCTTTAATTCTTCCCATGGCCATGTCACTGTTAGTGATAAAAGGGGAATGTAACACACTGATATTCTTGGCCAACAGCTTCCAGGCTTTTGGCCCAGTTTCCAAAGGAAAAAAAAAAGAGTAAGGAAAATACATTATGCTTTTCCCCATGTTCCCTGTCATAATAGTTTTGTAGAATTACATACCATCTTAGTGTGTCAATATGGACAGCAAACATTTGTCTAACACAAAACAGAACTAGAAAAAATAATGGATGAGCACATTGGACATATATTATGAAGTGTTTGGTGCTTGAACCTACCTAACTACCAGGTGAGTGCAAACAATGAACTCGGGTTTGGAATTCCACTGGTGGTAGGTGATGTAGTAGTGTGTCTGCAGCCATATCCACTGCTGGCCTTTGGTCAAGAACCGATAGTAACAGGACTTTCCTTTTCCAAACTGCATCACTGTTAAAAAAAGAAGAAAGCAATTTATAGCAAACAGAAATTTCGTGGTCTAAAGGTGATTAGAAAAACCATGTGGTTCCATACCCCTCTTGCAGTCTGCTACCGCACGAAAAAGGCTCTTGCAGCTTTCTAAACATGACAGATGATACACAACCACGTACCGAGCTTTTATTTGGGTTCTTTTCCGTTACTGATTTTCAAGAGTGCACTTTGATATTTTGAGATTGTTCTTATAACTAAAATTTCCATGACTGTGTAACTAGCTATATTCTTACAATTTATTCATGGGCTCCTCTGAAATAAGCATAAATAACATAAAGTATTGGCCTTTCACAAGTACATGAGAATGCATGTCAAAGCCTAGGGGCTCGAAGTCAAGATCCTAATAATGGCATAAAACATTAAGATAGTGGAGTTTTAGCAGTTTAACTGAGAGTTTTCTTCCCAGAGACAACCTAAATATACCAGACCAGTATGTATTATCAGGTTATGTCCAGAAAAATCTCAAGTAGCGTAATACAGCTGGAAAATAATGAGGGGAACAACATTAAATAACCACATTAATTGTTCCCGGACTGCTGAGAGTACAGAATGAAACACACTCACTTAAAATGCCCATAATTAATGCAAAGTAAAATACAAATGTGGTTTAAGCAAATCCATTTCACTTCACAGTAGGCAAGATGCCTGCCCAGAGCGGTCAACCTGACAAACGGGAACTTATCAAGCCACACTAACCCAAGTATTTTTACTCATCTGCATGCCTCTACTTTGTTAAATATCAGGACTAACTACTTCAACGACCCCATTAACAGTGATGGGCTTTAGATGAAGCAGTGTGTTCTGGCTCCTAGTCCGGGCAGAGATTTCTTGAAGCAACTTCTCTAAGTTACTTTGCCAGCACCTTACTTTTCCCCCCTGCACAGTAAGATTAAAAGACCCTTTCCTTCGGTGTGTTGTGCAAATACACATAATATGTAAGAGGAGATCCATGGCTAGTAGAGACATAGAACATAAACCACCGAATAGAATCTCTGCTGAGTGATCTGACCTTGCTCTCAACATAGTTAGCATTTATGTGTACGTCAAACTGCACGCACGTATTACCAAAAGGACATTGTCTGGTTGAGTAGCTCACTTCTGTCTGAACGGTCTTTTAAGCAAACAGCACTAAAAAGTATTGTACTTGAGAGCAACGAAAATATTCCTTTGATATTCCCATCTACACCCTTGCTGCACTTGACGCAACTTGTGCCTAGCCCCTTTCACACCTTTCTTCACGGGCTCAGGTGGGCAACTCACTTCCCTGCTGCCTGTTTTGTACCAGCGCTTTGCCTTGACAGGGCAGAAAAGCTGGCAGGGAAGTGGAGTGGGGAAACTTGACATTCAGAGAAGTGGTTTTCTCCATTCTCTACTAGGTCCATTAGTATCTTTGATGTGTAAGTGGTAGAGGGTATGTGGTAGAGATGGGGGTGGTTTGCAACTCAGAGACGAAGCAGTTCGTCTAGATCCAGCGTGCTGGGGGCTGTGGAGTTTCTTACTGTCCCTGCATCACACTGCTCTGCATCTCAGAGCAGTTACAGCATCCCGCTTTCTCCACTCTCTGGGGTGTCCTTGTTTCCTTTTGACAAAACACTCTCCTTTCAACCAGAGATAGCAGAGACAAACAGATAGAGAGTTTGCACAACAGGAAACCAATAAGTAACATTTCTTGGCAAAATATCTGATTACCTAGATGTGTTTTACAAAGTGCATAGTTACTTTTCATTATGGTGCTTGGCAATGCAAACCAGCTGGAGAACGGACCTAATTCTGGCTCAGTCTGAAGTGCATGTAGTAAAATGGAAAAATACAGTCTCAGAGATAAAGCATCTCACGTGCTCGTCTGGTAGGAACAGCACACTGATTAACAGCAGATCGCTTCTGCTGCCACCTTTTGCCCTTCCTCACATCAGCTCCATTTTTTTTTCTTCAAAGGTGGGCTGCACAGTCGCAGTACTTGGGCTAAGTGTTCCTGACCTGGCTCCTCCTGGGCTCTCGCAGGTCACAGTACTTCACCTTGCACGAAGACGTACTTCATGGACATTATCTGGTGTTCATACATCAGCCCGAACTGGACTTTTCTGCTTTACTTTCAGGTTGACCAAAAATGAGCCATCTTCACCCAAAGGGAATCTGTATTTGATACTTTTCTATTTAAAAGAGAGTGTGAATCTCCAGAAGCATTTTACTCATAGTAAGTGAGGTTCACAACATCTAATTGCACAGGCAGGTGATCCAAATGCTGCTTTTAGAAGGCATTTTGGTGAGCTGAGCCTCCTGGCTGACTCTGGAGCCCAGGGGAACAGCAAGACCCCATGAACTGTGACCAACAACAAAACTCCCAGGGTTTGGGGCTGCTCTCACAAACTGATGGCAGAGGGTCTAAAGTTCTGACTTCCTATCTATTCATCTCATTTCACTCTCAGACAACCTGCGCTCAAACAGGGTGTCTGCCAATTTGGGAAACCTGCACAAAGAGTTCTGATTTGAGTGAATTCTGCAGGGATTCAACCTCCCAGGAAAGCGTCAGCTATGACAATCAGTCATGGGCAGGGACAATTCCCTCATGCCCCAGATAAAGATGCTTTTTGCAACGACAGTAAAAGGTTTTGTACGAGTGACAATCAAGATCAAAGGCAGGCACGCTGCAGAGAGGAACTTACAGTGTTCATGGCACCTAGCAAGAAGCTCCAGGTCATCTGCGTGGTAGTAATCATACCCTGACGTTCCCAGAACCTCAAAGGGTAAATAACCTATAATAGGTGGAGCCCTAGAAGGGAAGCAAAGGGCAGAGAGTGAGCACAAAACCTGACACTTTGACATCCTGTTAGATATGCTGCAACACCAGTGACCAAAACCACCTTGCACGTTCACTTGGCAGGAAAATCAGGAGTGGCTTTTCATATACACAACAATGTATTTTCATATACAAGTGAAAAAAAAACAGTGAGAGAGAGGTAAACATTGAGAAAATGAAAAGGTGTGTGTTTACTGTTTCATAGCCTATTCATTATGTGGGCGTAGAGAAAGGCATGTACGTATGCGAGTGACTCAATTCATTAAGCACGCTTGTGAGACACACAGCTTGAGAAACACTATGGCTGTTCATGTGCATAATAACTTGGAGCTTGAGTAAAATTATCCAGTAGTTTGGATGTAAATGTCATCTGGGTAGTAACTGTAGAAGAAAGAGCAAGTGGGAAGCTGCAATGTGTGTCAGGACCCGCTTGGGTAAAAGAAAAAGTAATTGTTCCCATGGAAAAGCCTGGGAAATTATAACCAGTAAAAATGTTTCTGTGCCGGTAATAAAGAAGAATAGGCATGGGGCTGATTTTAGGGACTGTTATTTCTATGGCAGGTAGAGAAGGAATCGATGAAGTATTTAGACAGGCACACTGCAATGACTTACCTGACCATTCTGCTGTCAATTCTAGATTTTCCATTTTCTAGGCAAAATACAAGATTGGTTTTTTAAGCAGGTGTCCTAACAACACTGAGCTTATTCACAGCTTTCACTGAAGCCTGCTAGCTTATGATTATGAAACAACACTGAAACGTGAGGAGAAAACCACTATTTTTGCCTGTACTCCATATATCATCATGCCACCTTCTGTCCCCTAGCGCTCAAGTACGCTCCTGCTTGCACCAATTCAAGCACAGCACTCACTTGGTGAGGCAGGACTCGCGCTAATTTGGCTCCACCTATTTGCTTTTGCTGCTGGATATGCTGATAGCATGAGGTTCACCTGCCAAGTTCAGCGTGTTCCTCAGGAATAAGGTGGCAGTGTGTCAGCAAAATGGTTAATGATTCAAAACTGGGAAGTCTGAAGGTGTCACTGCCTATCGAAAGTGCCTCTCCTGCCGCCCTTCTCTTGGTGTGTTGAGTGACCCTCTTAAGGAAGGTGAACGCTCCAAATGGCCAAGAATACGAGAAAAAAATTATTCGTGTGTTAAGTACATTTGGGTTTGGATGGATCAGTCCTGAGTCTTCTGGATATTAATGTGGGAAGTTCTCCTGTCCTGGCTGAGTGACCCAGACACGGTGGGCATAGATTATTCAACTAAAGAGAGCCCAGACAGGTCTACAACCTCCCTCTTCCCCACAATTGCGGGCAGTCTGGCATGAAATAGGAAACTGGGGAAACGGAAGGACAGCCAGGGATCTGCTCAACAGCAGCCCCAGGAGGATCAAGGTCTGAGCAGGAGCTCTTGAGTCCCAGCATAAGGGATTGGCTGGAAGAGTCAGTCCTCCACACTCTCTGATAGCAAATCTCTTGAAACAGTGTGCTGGTACACAGTGGTCTCTGCCACAATACAGCTTTATTTATTCAAATAATGTTTCATGGAGCACCGTGTTCCTTTTCCTCGTGTGACCCAGATTTCTGTTAATGATGATAATACACGTATTTATTAACGTGTCCTTCCTTGCTGTCTCTTTGGCAGAATGCGCCAGTGTCTCTCCTATCTTTAATGACACGCTTATATTCAAGACAATAATGTCTTTCAGATGCACATCAGATAAACATTTAAGCTGATCAGGAAAGTACTATGCTTTCCTGACTTTCACCAGAATTCTTTAAATGAGAAAGCAACCACAAAATGCTCTTCGTCTGTCAGTTGACAAGGAGCTGCCTTGCTTGTGGAACAATTTAAAAGTGTCTTGTTGGCTTAATTTCCAGCCTTGAGGCCTGCAACTCGCCATGCAAATGGAAATGCACAGTCTTCAGAGAGCCTTTCGAGTGCAGTCTTTTAATAAATGAGGGGAAAATAAGGAGAGGACCACAGTGCAAAAGAGAAATAGCTCATTATCAAAGTTGTCCGGTTTTCTTACTTTACACATATTTACATGTAGACCCAGAGACCCAGAATACAGATTTTTTTCCTCTAATGTTTTTTTCTAGGTCTATGGTGTGCTTTCTGCATTATCTCTCTTTACTTTCACATTTATGTTGTCATCATGATAGCAAAGGCCCTGATTCCAACTCATGCTGCCCCTGCTGATGGCACACCTCAGCATCAGGTGGTGTGAGTTGACATAAACAGGCAAGAAACAGCAAAATACCCAAAAACTTTTCGCAGCATCCTGCGGACTGTACTGGAGAGAGGTTTGAATCAGTGATTAAATGAAACATCCCACATGATCCCCTGCTGTTTCTTGGGTCTGGGCTCACGGCTCACATCCAGGGCTGTCACAAACTCTGCCTCAGCATCTGCAGCAGCTAAATTTACTCTCAGTAACAACGGCTTTCTCACTGGGGATTGGGACCAGAGTGGCTGCAAGCACCCGGCGCAGAGAGATTCCTCTCTGAGTCATAACCCAGATTCATCAAAAGACTCTTTGACAGGTTTCAAAGCAGCTCCTGCTCGCCTTATTCACAGGAGCTGCTGGGACACAGCCCTGCGGAAAACCAGCTCACTTTGTCAGACAGTGAAGTAAGGGGCTTAGGGCTTTTCTACGAATCTTAACACTAATCACCTAATTTTGAAAACGTGCATTATTGGAGAGGCCAATTAAAGTCTAACAAAGTCACTCCAGCAAGATCTCCACAACATGAATAATAAGCCGACTGTCCCAAACCACACAGCATTAACTGCAGGGCTGTCGCAGGGTCAGTTCCTCCATGCTTCAAGGTATGATGCATGAGGTACACATCCTGTTTACTATATAAATGCAAGTTATTATCCATCTGTATTTGCTTTCTCTCTCTTCCTTGCTCTAAATATGCAGA